CATATGCAGGAATGGATTTGAATAAATCATACACAGGTAGACATTTAAAACCTGTGTTTGAATACCCAAAGCTATATTTTGAAAGGGGAAAAAGAATTGCAAGACATCAGAGAATGATCATTCTTCTAAGCCGATTTGATATGGCCATGATTCCTTAATGCTATAATACTATAAATGTAAGGCTTTCACAGTAAAATATAATTCAGGTATTTGTTTCAAACCTCCAACTTGTTGTAATTCATTAATTGCTAAAGGGAAGAATGTTTGAGGGTTGTTAGAACTTAGTAAAATTTATAGGCAAGGTTAGCCATTTGTGAACTGCAACTGGTATATACACAGTTCTTCAGTGTATTAAATGTATAGCCTGTTCAGAAAAAAAGTGGAATTGTATCAATCTCTCTTACTTTACAGTTTTCATTTTAATACATATGCTCTGAAAAGTTAATCCAGAAAAAAATCTAATATTTCATTATGCCTCAGAAGATCATTATTATATAATAAACAATTGTTATTGGGACTTAAAAACAAACATTTATACTGAGTTCCAAAACACATAACTATTTAATAACTTTTTTAGGATCACCAAATTCATTTAAAAGGACTAGTCCTAACACAATTATCACATGAATTTACAATAGAATAAACATTGGAGTAAAGGTTATGCAATAAATAAAATTGGGATGGTAAGACAAACCTGAAAAACAGGTCAAACATATTTTTTTAAAGCATAGAACCATCTTTCCAGCCAGTGCTGCTCAAAAATAAAAAAAATTCCGATTGTGAAGGGGTTAAGTTTATTAACAGCTGTTTGACATTATAACTAATCTCCATGTTCAGAGGCATTTGAACCTAAGCTTGCCCTAAATTCCTCTGACACTGATTAATTAGTGCAATTATTTATTTGTTGAATTTACATCCTGGCACGCAATGGAGCTAACAATCAGATTGTTTAAAAAAACCTAAAACACAAATAAAAACATATTGAACTTTTAAAATGCATCAATAAAAGTAGCAACAACCAAACAATTGCAATCAATTTCAGCACCAGGCCTTGTTTATATACTTAAAGTCTGTCTAGATCAGTATTTCTCAATCGTGGCAATTTTAAGATAGGTAGACTAACTCCCATAATTTCCCATCCAGCATTGCAGCCAGTCAGGGAGTTGAAGTCTACCTATCTTAAGGTTGGGAAATGCTGGTCTCAATAAAATGCTTTGCCTGTTGATGAAGGTGTGTGGCAGAATCTTTTGAGAACCTGAGAACAGCAGCCAAAAGAATTTGTTTATGCCCATAACAAAGATTTTTCTATTGATAGTGGGATAGTGAAAGTCTGAGCAGGTTCATAGAAGAGAATTACTCTCTTTCAAATATCTGATTTGAATCCCAAAGGACTATGATTTACAATCAGTTTTCTATCAGTGTCCATCCCTTACATGTGTTCAGTGGTGGGATTCAAAATTTTTACTACCGGTCATGTGGGCGTGGCTTGGTGGGCGTGGAAGAAGGATATTGCAAAATCTCCATTTCCTCCCCATTCCAGGGGAAGGTTACTGCAAAATCTCCATTTCCTCCCGATCAGCTGGACTCAGGAGGCAGAGAATAGATGAGGGCAGGGCCAATTTCCCCTACCGGTTCTCCAGAACTGGTCAGAACCTGCTGAATACCACCTCTGGATGTGTTGATAAACTTGACCTAGTAACTTTCTTTTCTTAAAATGATGACCATTAATAAATGATGACCAGAGATTACCAAATAGTAATCACTGAGATGCTGGCTTGTCTAATTGGTGATGGGATGTGGAAGCAAGGGATGTTAGACAGTTTTTAAGAGAGCACATATAGTTCAGTGGTTAAGGTGTTGGCCTTGAAGCAAGGACACTGTAAATTTCTAGGCCTGCCTTAGGCATGAAGAAATTATCAGCATGACAATGTTGCTTCTTTAATGTCCAGAAACATTCTTTGCTTTTAATTTATTGCAATTTTTAAAAAGAGAACTGTAGAAAAAACAAAATGTACAAAACAAATTAAAAAACAAAGAATAACACCTGTCAAATTAGTTATGAAATTGCAGAAATAAAGTAAATGAAACACCTGAAAAACAAATCTAAACAACTAATATACTAAATTAATATTAATCACTTGTATATATCTTACATGTCTACTTCTTCATGCAATAACAATATATCAAATTGTGCATATAATTTGCCTGTTCTTGTAAAATACTATGGAAACCATGCCAACGAGAAACACTGTTATATTTGATTAAATTAAATTTTAGCAATTTAATTAAATTTTGATTTTAATTTTAAACAGACTTTTTTAAAAAGGATATACTACATATTTTTGTTCAGTTTTGGATATTTGGGGCACTAGTGCCTTTTCTATCAATATAATTTTGTCATTCTGCATGTCTGATATAACCAGTAAATCTAAAAAACCATCTGACTGCACAACCATCATTGTTGAAAAAAAAGTACTGTGATTTATGAAGCTCTATTGCTCCCTGAACAGATAGGTATGAAGCAGCGAAATATTGAATGGCAAGTAATTCTTTAAAAAGTAACAAGTAACTTTTTAAAACTCTGAAGTTAATTTTTGATCCCATGGACTGGTTCATTAAATTTTCTTAATCAGACCTGGTGGCTATATTTACATACTTCACTTTTTTGTTGCCTTATATAAGCCTATCAGTTCAGTGCATTATACAAAACCAGATCATTCATGTAATAATCATTTAATAAACTAAGTACACCGTGCAACCCACCCACTGGCCATATGAAAAAAATCAGGTGTCCATAGGAGCCAATGTTTTCATCAAGATAAAAGCAGCTCTCTTTCATTCATATGTCTCTGTGTGAAAAATCACAATGCAGATACAAAAAGAGCTTGTTTTATTATTTGTGTTCCCCCCAACCCCACTCTAGACACCTCTGGCAGGACAATTATATACCATTGCATGAATGTAAGATAAACAGTAGTGAGACCCACTTGCCTTCCATGAAGGAATGTTGACTTACTCTGAAACTCCTGTCCTTTACTTACCCCACTATAGCTTTATGAATGCCTGCTGAATAAGGATAAATAAAATTTTTGCTAAGAAGATTTACAGCTTAACATTCTGTTGGCAATAATGGTGGCTGAAAAGAGCTAGAGAAGTTGAACAGAATTACTGTGTCACAGTCATGGTATTTTTATGGGAAGGATATAATATATTACTAGAGTTTGCTGTTGAAATATTTCTTTATCTGTAAGATAAATTGTAGCACACAGACATGTTTAAAGGGTTTAATGGAAATATTGTTTATTTCACACAAAGCAGAACATAGCATCATTATATAGTAAAATATACCCTATCTTTGTACTTCATTCAATTTCAAAATGTTACAAAATCTATCAGTGTCATCTGTTAAAATAGCAACTGTCAATAAATAATTATAATTTATTTGTATGTCAAACAAAAAAGCAAAAAAGAGAAAAACATTTAAGAAAAAGATGTCAGGAAAATATCTGCAAAGAATATTACAAGGTGATTCAGTTTTGCAAAGGCTTCAACACCCAGTTCTTTTTGTCGATTCTAAGTGTTGAATTGCTTCTAAATTGTGGCCCATGTTTACATTAAACTTTTCAGGGTTTATATGATGATATTATATATCACAATCTTGAACAACAACAACTGTGTTAAGTTTACTTGTAACTTTATTGTTTGCCTGTTCTGGCCTGTAAGCAAAGGGCCAACTCCTGTGAGAGAATCTATGATAGTTAACAAAAACAAAATCTGGCTTAAAACCATGGCTGTCAGTGATTTAGACAGTACCATCTGGTTGACATTGATTTCTTTCAACATTTCCTGTTTCTAAAACATTATTCCAGTCATCTTGGTAATCATCCTTTTGATTGTTCAGACCTTGCAAAATCCTATAGCCTAATTTATATGATATAAATTGGGCAAAAATCCCAATCAGACATTTATTTATTTCATAATGCTTCAACTCTCCCTCTCTCTCTTTCCATCTAATAAATTCAGGTGCTGAATTTTAACTAGGAAGCCAGAATCGTATTATCAAGAAACAAAACATGTTTTCAGTTTTATCTTGCCTTTAGGACCTTTACTGGGTTTAAGAGACTAACAATATAAAAAGAGACAGTTTGCTATAGTGATTAAGGTATCAGATTAGAAACCAAGACAGCACAAGTCCTGCCTTGGGCACAAAGACAGCTGGGTGATTTTGAGCCAGTCACTTTCTCTCAGCCCTAGGAAGGAGGCAATAACAAACCACTTCTAAAAACCATGCCAAGAAATGGATGAGACTGGAATAGAAGAAATATACACACACACACACATACAAAGTTTGTAGGAGAAAGCTGTGTGCTAAAAATAAAATGCCAGAATCAATTCCAGAGGTTTGGAATCTGCCCTTGGCATACTGAGGATCTTTTGTGACAAGCAGAGCAAACTAAAGCAATATTCTGAAATAAGATAGGATTCCCTCCTAGCCTGGCTAGGAACAGTCACACTGTAACATACACAAACCTACTTAAATATGTTACGTTATTTTGAAAATATTTTAAGTTATAGAAGAAATTCACTATATTTTTCTTGCATCAGCTGCCCTAATATTTAGGGTAAAACACAATACCTAATTGCCTCTGAACAAATCTAATTTGTTTCGGGCAAAAGGGGAAAAAAAGCAATAATAAGGCCCATTTATTTCATTTCAAAATCGGGAGGATAGGCTCATCCTAGAAGTTCTCCATCTTTTTGAACAGCTTTCCTTCAGAAATCGTGGGCGCTCCATCACCGGAGGCTTTTAAGAAGAGATTAGATAGTCACTTATATGAAATAGTATAGGTTCTCCTGCTTGAGCAGGGGGCTGGACTAGAAGACCTCCAAGGTCCCTTCCAGCTCTGTTCTAATTCTAATAATTCTTCTAATTCTAATGTCCACGAGTGCCCTCCTCAAGCCAACATGGTATTTGAATGACGCCCCACGCTCAGCGCCGGAGCTCCGCACGCGAGCACTTGCAGCCGGGAGCCACCGGAACCCTCCAGATTCGGCAAAGAACGCCATCCGCCGCAGCCCTCCGCGGACCGAAAGCATGGGAACCGGATTCCTTCGCGATTGGAAGCGCCGCCCGCGCCTTTTCCTCCGCGCTGCTCCTCCCCTGCCACAGTGTCAGCCGCGAGAGGGAAAGCCGCGCAGGCGCTGGGCCGTCGCGGAGAGGACTGGAGGATGGGCCGCCTGGCGTCGCGCTTGCTGCTCCTCTGCCTTTGCTGGGGCGCCTGGGAGCGCCTTCCGGGGACCGAGGCCGTCCGAAAGCGAGGACCCACCGTGACCGCTAAGGTGACTATCGCCCTGAAGCGAGGAGCCAGAGTGCAGGAGGGGATCGGTCCCTCCCTTCCCCTTCCCACCTCCCCACCCGCTGCAGAGGCTGAAAAGTTAACTTCGGGACCGTAACGCCTTCATGCCGTGCGCCGTGCTTCGCCTCGACGCTTTCCGAGGCGCTTCTCCTCGCCTCCCTTGTTTCTTTTCCGTTTTTTCTCCTCGGCCTTTTCCTCATTCACGATCTGTAGGGTTTTATAGCGTCATCTACAAAACCCCGCTTGAATTGCAGATCCACGCGGCCCCCCCCCCCCCCATGCAGTATCAATTGTATGAACACTCGAGCTTTCTCTTTCCGCTGTGCGTTCAAGATGGACAGGGATTTTATATGTACGGGTGTAGGTATATATGTAGCACGTCTATATAGTATGTTATGTATGTGTGAGCATTTTGAGAGCAGGCAACAGAATTTCACTTTTAATGGGTGCCAGGGTGCTCATAGTAAAAAAAAAAAAAAAAAGACAATGAAGATGATCTTACCTGCACCTATTTTATATTCCTCTCTGCCCATCCCTCTTGTGCCTTCATTGACTTTGTCACTTGACCGCCCTCTTCCCAGTAATGTGTAACAGCTTTTGGGTACTGTACTGCTGTCCTTAAGATGTAGTGGAATGGGCTTGGAGGAGCATGGGTGACCAGGATGGAGGCATTAGACTTTTTAAAGATTGGCTGACATTCTTGAGATGGTCTGTCATTTTATGTCAGCCCAAGAGATAGCCAGCTCAAGAAGCAGACATCACAAAGGATCACAGGAATAATACAGGTAATCCTCAAAGTTCATTCAGAGACTGTTCAAAGTTACAATGACACAAAAAAAGGTGACAAGACCGTTTTTCACATGACCATTGCAGCATCCCAATTGCCACATGATCAAAATTCAGATGCTTAGCAAGTGGTTCATATTTATGACAGTTGCAGTGTCCTGGGGTCATGTGATCCCCTTTTACGACCTTCTGACTAGCAAAGTCAATGGGGAATCCAGATTCACTCTACAACCAGGTTGTACTAATTTAGCAAATGCAATGATTCACTTCATATCTGTGGCAAGAAAAGTCGTAAAATGAAACAAACTCACTTAGCAAATGTTTCACTTTTGTTCAACCTTACAGCTTAAAAAATATTTCTTGGTTTTTCTTAAAATTTGATTGCCCTGAAAGAGTAGTTTCCATTCAATTTGTTTTTACTTTATGAAATTTCATGGTAGAGGCGAGAATTAGAAATATATAGTATTTGCGAAAAACCATTTGAAATGAAGCAAAGTAGCTTAGCTATTTTTCTCTTAACTGCTCTTGCTTTGTATCTCAGTGGATTTGCTAGAGCAGGGGTGTCAAACTCGTGACAACACGGTGTCATGTGACGTATCGCAACTTCCCCTCCCCTTTGCTAAACTAGGGGTGGATGTGGCCAGCGCATGAGACCCCTGGGCTAGAGTATGAATGGAGCACCAAAAAGAATACACAAATTTGTTCCTATTTGCCTATAATCATGAAACCAGTAGCAAGGATGGTTTCAAACTATATTTTAGTAATTTAAACCCATAGGTTATTCATTGCTTCTATTCATAAATCATGCTTAGTGAAAATCTTTTACTGCTTGGTGTGAACTATGTGTGATGCAATGCTGTTGAATTAATTATTCAAAAAAATTAACTAGTGGGTTTCTGAATTAAAAAGCAGATAACAAACATAATTTAAGCAACCCACTTAGTTGAGTTGGGATACTATAGAAATTGAATAAAGAAAGAAATATATTTTATTGTTATTAACAAATCTTGGTAAAGAGACCTGAAGTAGCCTTTTCCTTTTACTAATTGCCTAAATGTTTATATTATTCTCAAATATTGGGGTATTTAATTAGACCATTGGGAAATTGTTTGATTTCATTTAGAAATATGGGATATCGCTATGCCCTGGTTATTTAGCTGGAGCAAAAAAGAACAAAGCCAGGTGTGTTCTAACATTTGACAATCTGCAGAACTTGGGGGGATTTGTAATTCCCTTACTGTGTAGAGTTAGTCACTATAATAAATAGCAAGCTTCAATAGATGTCAGATCAGGACCAATTGATGAGGAATCCTGATTTTTCTTGAAATAGACATTTAAAAGAAAAGCATAAAAGAGTAATGGATATATTTATGCATCCTTAATATCACTTAATGTTTATACCTGTTTTGCAGCATATGCGGTTAATGTAATCATAAAACCATCTGTGCTTCCAAACTCAAGAGCCCTTAACTTTAACCCCAGGTTCTAATTCTGGAATCCAGAAACCTGAATCATTTTTCTGCTTTGCCAGCCTTCCCTCCTATTCTGCTTTTCTAACATATTTATGAAAGAGAGCTTAGGACAGACATTATGAGATCATAGCCCAATGAAAACTGTGATCTTAAGAAGATTGACATTCTGGTATCAATTAACAAAGCTCATCCATCACGGCTTAATATTCTTCTGTGTATTGCTTTCTAGCCAATGGACAGTCAGTGAAGCTTGAATCTCATTTTATAAATACTTTAAAACACAGCCGATCTCACCATCTAAGTGACTCTGGGCAGTTTACAAATAGAATCCATGAAACCGTATAAAAGAGACATACTGTATTTTTCAGAGTATAAGACGCAGCTTAGTTTTTGGGGAGGAAAATGGGGGGGGGGGAATCTGCCTACCAAGTATTCATCTGGCTAGTGTCCTTAGTCTGGTCAGCTTCAGCACATTAGTTTGCTGGTTTTGAGTCCACACACGCATTTTTTATCCCCTGCTTGGGGATAAAAAAACAGCTTCTAAAGCAGCAATGAGAAAAGCAGGCAAAGCACGGAGATCGCTTCACTCGCTAGCGCCTCCGTTAAGGCTGAAAAAAAGCTTCTAAAGCACAGCTGAGAGTCAGAGGGAGGGAGCGCAAACAAAGCACACCGAAGATAAAAAAAGGTTCTAAAACACAGCTGAGAGTCGGAGCCCGTGGAAGATCACTTCACTTTCTATTGCCTCCTTAGGGCTGAAAAAAAGCTTTGAATAAGCTACTGAGTATAAGATGCACCCAAATTTTCAGCCTCTTTTGTGGGGTGAAAATGCATCTTATACTCTGACAAATACGGTCGTTAAAAGCTAAATTAAAACAAACAGAAGGACAAACAGAATAAAAACAGTCAAGTTAAAAGATGGCCTTCAGCCCTTAAGGGGTGAGTCCTCATGACCGCCGTCTTCGATCCTTATGCCAATTGGCAGAGCTAAGTCTACATGCTGTTCCAGAAGATCAAAAGAATGAGTGCCAACCACACCTCTGGGGGCAAGATATTGCATTAAGAAGGGGCAGTGGCAGAGACGCCAGCAGTAAAAATTCTTTAATTGATGGGACTCATCAATTAACTACTCATCCTGCCTGATGGGATACACTGATGTAATTGGGACAAGATGGTTCCTTGGGTAACTTCTTAGCTTTCGCCAGGACCATGATATGTAGGGAAGACAGGCAGTTTTGAGAAATAAAACTATATGCAACATCCTATGTAATTGGGCAGGATATGTATTCACTAGGTAACTGTTTTTTTATTGTCGTTTTAATTTTTTTTTAAAGGGAAAGCTGGTAGTAATGTTTTCCCTCTCTAAATCATAACATTTAAACTAAGTAGTTGTGTGTTAAGTGAAAAATCATTATCACTTAATACAGGTAGTCCTCAATTTACAACAGTTTGTTTAGTGACTGTTCAAAGGTACAACAGCACTGAAAAAAGTGACTTATGACCATTTTTCAGACTTACGTGCATTGCAGCAGTCCCATGGCCGTGTGATCAAAATTCGGATGCTTGGCAACTGGTTCATATTTATGAGAATTGCCATGCGATCAGCTTTTGCAAACTTCTGACAAGCAAAGTCAATGGGGAAGCCAAAGTTACTTAACAACTATATTACTAACTTAACAACTGCAATGATTCACTTAGCAACTATGGCAAGAAAGATCGTAAAATGGGGCAAAACTCATGTAACAAATGTCTCACTTAGCATAGATTTTGGGCTCAATTGTGGTGGTTAATAATAACTGTAATAACTGAATATTTCTTCCTTTAATAGTGAACTTGGATTGCTTGACTATTGATAGGAACCAAAATGGAACCACTGAGAAACATTGAGAAATAGGGCTTTTGATGCAAAATGATGAAGTTTGAAAAAGTTTGTTCTTTAAAATTCTGTTAAGTGGATAAATCCAATACCCCTTTACTACCCAAATGCATTGAGAATTGAACATTCTGAATAGATACATAGTGTTGAATCTTGATTAGAAACTTCAAAAACAATAAAGGAAAGGATTTATAGTTTAGAGTATTGTGAAACATGGCTAGATATTGAAGAATATTTATGTTAGGGAGTCAGGAATTGTTTGGCTCTATGGCTTACTTATAGTTATATTTCTTAACTTGTAATTCACCTGATACAGCCCTGAAATCACAATATAGGAAGGTTATAAAAGTATAAGCCTTGGTTTACAAACATGCATAGTTAGTGGTGGAAAACAAATGTAGCTAATATTTCTTTATATTCAGAAATAGGTAGCATGAGACTGATAAAGTGGGTATTTCCATCTCCATGCTATAAATATAGTCCAGAGAAGTGGGAGAAAACATTGAGAAGTGATAAATCAAGAGGCTTTTTCTGCTCAAAGATCGTTTGAAAAGTTCCTTCTACAACTTGAAAAGCACATTAGAATACAACTGTTTATCTTCTAGTAAATAACTAATAAATAGCCTAGCCTAACGATGATATATCATATTGACAGTGATTCCTTTTTCCACTTTTGAAAATTTCCAGGTTTTCTTTGATATACAGATTGGTGACAGAAATGCTGGCAGAATTGTAATTGGCTTGTTTGGAAAAGTAGTACCCAAGACAGCAGAAAACTTCATTAAACTTGCAACTGGAGAGGTAAGAGCTTTTTTAAAAGCATTGTTTTCATATTTAAGAGAAAAGAAATATGTGTACTTACTACTAGTATTAATTTTATCACATGTCTTTATTTATCTAATGTCAGTAGTGATTGATTAGTAGCGATTGAGCCATTATTTTCTAGTGATAAGCAAAAGTTCAAGTTTTCCGTTTCAGTTTAGTTTGATGTCTTGAAGGTCCTCCTCCAGGCCTGGCTGGTTTGGTGCAGAGGGAGACCGAGCTGGTTTATCAAACCCCCAAAACCGGTATTGTTATTTTGTAAATAGTAGAAACTAAATCGGTATATTGTAAATCGGTATTTTGTAAATAGTAGAAACTGGTTGTTATGGAAGTGTAGTCATCAGGAAAACAGTAAGCCTTTCCCTTCAGTTTCAATGTGATATTGTCATATTTGGTCACTGCATGGGTGCTTTGGCAGGTTACTGTCAGGAACAATTCTTTTATCTTTCTTAAGTTTGGAGACCTTTAGAGGAATGATCTCCAGCTAAACCTTTCAGCACCAAATTTATAGAGGGAAAGGAAAAGAGGATCTTGTCTGACCTCATGTAGAAAAGTAAAAAAGTCGAAGTCTTAGAATGTGCAAAAGTTGGCTATAGAACCACAGCCAGCCCAAATTCTCAAGATTTTGCTCTAGAGAATTATTTTCTAAGATTTTCTTTGACGGCAGGATTCATTGCTCAGTCTGGAGTGCATGTTAGGTTTTGTTCCCATACTTGATTCGCAAACAAGCAGGAGTCCTTGGTTCTTTCTGAAGTTGGTTGTTTTCTTGCAGATGTTTCATTACCCAAACTAGGTAGTACCATTGGCACTGATATTAGCAGACAGCACCAAGAACCCCTCATTTAACCCTGAGATAGAAATGTTTTCCTTTGTTGGTTTCAAACAAGCAATTATACATTAGGCATTCAAAAATTTCCTGTTGGTTGATCTTTAAAAAAAATATATATCTAAGGAGATCATACATCATAGCATCAAGCAGCAGTATCATTATAAGTTTATAATCATACAAATATTGATTCTGGTTGGCCTCTTTTGGGGAGGAACCCATAGGTAAATTCCTCTTACTGAAAGAACCGTGCTCTGACCTCTTTGAGAAAAAATGTTTTTTGGGTCTGATGGCTGTCAAAGGCACAGCATCCAGTTCACCAAATAAGAGAGTCAAGTGGCCTTCCAAATTTAATAAAATACAATGAATGAGGAAAAATGATGAACATTCAAGATAGAAATAAGAAGCATGGCAGTACTGAATCTCATATAGAAAGGGTGGGTCAAAATTAAGCTTTGGGTGGATGTAGATCTGACTATGACTAACAGATATTCTGATTTTTTTTCTCATTCAAATTAAATGACCACACAAATAATAGTTGTCTTGCTAAACATTTAATTGCATGCATTGTTAATTGTAGTAACTTTACTGAACTGAAACTGTGTCATTTTAAATTCTAGAAAGGATTTGGTTATAAAGGAAGCAAATTTCATCGCGTAATCAAAGATTTTATGATTCAGGGAGGTGACTTTACAGCTGGAGATGGTACTGGAGGTAACACTGCTTTCTTTAGACAATATTCATGTTGCGAGGTGGTTCAAATACTTGAAGACGTGCCTTGACTATTTTAGACCCTGCCCTTTGGACCATCCTTCAGAGATTAGAATGGTCTCAACTTTATTGACCTGTCATGAGGCTTTAAAAACCTAGCTATGTGCTCCTGAATTAAGGGCCTCATTTCTTGGCTTCACTGACAATTATTACGATAATTCTCTTGGTTGCTGTACATGTTTATTTTTGACAGTTTTAATTGTTTTAGCATTATTTGCTACCATTTACTTAATTGAGATGGAAGATTACAGAAATTAAATATAAATAAATGAATAAACAAGCCACATTAAAGCTATATCACATGTACCATTGTTCAACAAAATATATATCTAATATGGCATATTATAAAAATAAAAACATTTTTCTTTAAATATATCCCACTATAAAAAGGTTGAACTGTGCACCATCCTGCACATATATGATGTGCTATGTATTGAAATAAATATCCACACACACACACTATTCATACTTTCAAATGTTTGCTTGGCAGCAACTTCCCTTAAAGTAGTCTGACTACACGCTTGAAGACATTTTGCATAGCTCTACCAGCGAGTATCCTGTATTGTAAAACTTTCTAAACAATGCTTTTATAATCTTGCTTCTTCTGATGAAAACCATTATTTTGTTATCTAGGAAGAAGCATCTACGGAAATCGGTTTCCTGATGAAAACTTCAAGCTGAAGCACTATGGCATTGGCTGGGTCAGCATGGCAAATTCTGGCCCAGACACTAATGGTTCCCAGTTCTTCATTGCTGTAACAAAGCCTGGCTGGTTAGATGGAAAACATGTAGTATTTGGAAAAGTCATTGATGGAATGGTAGGTAAATCTGCAATGCTTTTATTTATTAGCAATAGAATATTGTTCTGAGTGTAAGTTTCTTTGGTTCTAAAAGTGTATCAGTTGCATATTTCTAGTGAAAAGTTAATGATTCTTAGAGAACACATCCTCTTATTGATGGAACAAGGGCTGTGTAATTCCCTAGCTGGTGAGAATTACCTTTTGTTTTATTTTCAGCATCCAGCAAGAATTTTTTTACCCTTGTTCCCTTTGCAAAATATAAGAAGGGGTTTTAATTTTATTATTTGTCAATAAGATTGTAAGTCGTACAGTGTTCATATTCTTTTGATGTTCAGCAGTTTTACAGAGCTACAGCAAAGGAGACAGCTTTCTCTCAAATTGAGTTTCTTCTAGAAAGCAAGCCCTACTATTACATCTGATCATAGCTGTGACACAGAGTTGATTTTTTGACTGAAAGGCCATTTATGTAAACAACTTTGAAATGAGGAATTAAAGGAGTTGTTTTATTTTTTTTTCTAGTCCCTTTTTTTCTGAGTACTTTTGTTATAGAAATCACTAGGACAGAGAAACAGATTGCATCCACGGTGATGAGCAGGGATATAAATATATAATATTTTATATTTAGCGATATAAAGCCTCTAAAATGAAAAATCTCACAAAATTTAGACTAGAGCATGTGTCTTATTTGTTGTGTGTTTCATACCTGGTTTTTCCTTTTCATCAAAAGCCACTCTCTCTTTAGTCCGTAGTACATGATATTGAACTTCAGGCAACAGATGACTATGACCAGCCTCTTCAGGACTGTGTGATCATTAACAGTGGAAAAATAGATGTAAAAGAACCTTTTGCGGTTGAAGTAGATGATTGGAGAAGTTGACAGAAATAGCAGCATCTGAGCTGCAATCACTTCTGGTTATCACTGTGTGAGGCTTCTATCAGAAAATACTTTGCAGAGACTGTACAACTTGACCTTGCAGGTAACAGAAAATACCTGGGTATTAAATGAGGAAATGCTATGATATTCTCTTTCTAGGGTAAAACATTTCATAGGTGTTGATTTAAAGAGATTGACAGAGATGTATACACTGCAAATGTTTATATTGTTCTTTGTTTATTAGTATCCATCTTACAAATATTTTTAACATCTTTGCCTAGTAATTTTAAAATTTTGAACAAAAACCCTCCTTATTCAGCTGGCACTTCTATAAAACATATTGTGTGGATTTCCTAATTTATGAATCTGAAAATAGACAAGGAAGAATTACCATGTAATTGAACAAATTATACTGACATGACAAATACCTTGCATCATACCTTTCAACAATACATGGATATCATTTATTAAAAGACTTCACTTCCAACTTTAAATTTTGAATTTGTCAAAATGCAAAATATGTTATTATTATAGTTACATATTATTTTTTATAATTTTATCATTTAAACCTTGTTTACTTACTTTATGTACAAATATTAAACCACTGGTGAAAACCGTCTGTTTTAAAGCAATGCTCTATTTTGTCATACTTTTTTTTTTTTTTACTAATCAAGACCAATTAGTTTTAAAAGATGTAAATATATTTTCGATATCTATACCAACACAATAGTATTAACATACACGAAGACAAGAATATCATTTATTGTCATCAATTATTTTCCATATTTCTGTCCATATTCATTACAAACTAACAATAAGAAGAAAAACGTGAACACATCACTATTAAACCAATTCAGAGTGAAAAGGCTTGACCATAAAAATCTAGACTGATTTCAAGATAGTGGAAAAATGTTGGGGCTGAATGAAACAGGGAATTGAATTTTGTTCAGCATTGGAGAAAGTTCTCTCCTGGGTGACAGGTAAATGGACTTCAAAAGATGAAGGTATTTTTAAGAAGTCTCTTCTTGACAGGTTCACAGTATTTGGATCTGAGGCAGGAAAGCTGCTTTGAAGAGGATGTGAATGTACTGTCTGCACCTGCTGTTGCGTCTTTGAGCAATAATATCTACCGCTTGATAAGGTTTGACAGTATCTCTGACAGAGAAGATGGAAAATCCCCAATGGCATTCAGGAAGTCATTTTAACATTGGTTAAAGTTCATACCAGTGGCCAACCTAAAGCTGCCCAGAGAATCATCTGCCAGGATAACTGAGAGATAGGAAAACACCTCTGACTGCAACTGTATTTGAACGGCGTAACTAGAACATGCTCTGCTGTGCCAGGTACCCACTGGCACAGAGTCATAACTGTTATGTTAGGCGTGAATCCCCCATGTTAAAAAGCATAGTATGTTTATTTATTTATTTTATTTATTTTATTTTTCAATTTATATACCGCCCTTCTCCCTGAGGACTCAGGGCGGTGCACAGCCAGAATTAAAAACATGAAATACAAATGTTACAGCTCCATCCTCAATATTACCCAGCTATGGCACATGTACTCAAAACTGACAAAGTGGTGGATGGACATATGACCAACAAGTTATTTTTTACACACGTCATTATTTTATTGTGGTTTGGGCATTTTGAATTTCACATGTTGAGAAACAATGTTCATTTGCACAATTGATAGGATAGACAAACCTTTAGGGGTGAGGTCAAAATGGGCAGACTCATTTACCATTCATTTAGGTGGAAGCATTATTTTCTTTTTTTTCTCTGGGCCTAATGCATATTTGTATAGTTTTGAGTACATTTTTTAATGTGCTTCCATCTCATATCTTTGCAAAACTGTTCAATTTTAGCAGATAAAATTAAGGGGAGTTCTAGGAGCTGCAAACAGGATAGTCAAGTTGAACTGCCCCTGGGCTGGCTGATTATTTTTATTAATCATGTTCATTATTATTTCTATTACAAAAAGTTAGAAATTAACAAAATTTTCAAAATGACATTAAGTAGAGGCTAATAAAAGCACTGCAGCCGAGTTTATGACATAAATTAAAACTGAACTAAACTGTTAGCATATACCCATCTCTGTTCCTAAAATAATACTTACGTGATATAACATCAGAAATACTGATACAGTGAGCTTATATTGCATCTCCAGTTTTGGTAGTTATTTTTTTAACATTTAGATTTTTTAGTCATACATGCTATTATATTTTATGTATCCGCTGCCAGCAGTGGATACAATGCTGAGACAAAAGAATTAGATAATGATTTATCACAGACACAAAACTTATAAATACATGATGAAAGTTAGTGTAATTTGGCATTTTGTCAGCTGTTTTAAAATGTAAGTATTTAGCGTTTAATATACAGGTTCAACCGAGTAACATTTTCTCCCAATTCATAATCTTGAAAAGCAGCCATTTTTAGTGATACAATTAAAAAATCCCAAAAGTTTCATCTTCGAACAGGGGCGTCATGCTTCAGTATTTTTTTTAAAAAAAGCCTCCAAAACCCTGCATCGAGGAACACAACTTGAATTTATTCTGATTATTTTCCGTCGAAACCTATTTTCTACCTGGGTTGTAGGTGAGGATAAAACAATCCATGGAGAATGCCTTCAATAACTACATTTGGAAAGTCATCTGGGGAAAAAAAAGAGAGAAGAAAAACTGCTTTCTTACATATGTCAATACAATATAAATGTTTTTGTAGAACCTAACAAGGCGAAGCCTGGTATAATTTAGGATATTGCATCACCATCCTGTTTATCTGTGCTCAGAATTTGTTATTAGTAATGCTGTTTCAGCAGGAACCCACTTTAGTGTAGCATTGGGCATTGCTTGAACGCACTGCCAGATTTGCAGCTTATTGATTTAAAGGGATGTTCTAATACTTAATGCTGCTAGGCTCCAGCTCTTTATCTGAATCTTTTCTCACAAGGAAGATGGATTACACTGGCAATTCAATTTCTAACAAAATCTCAATACACTTGAAGGAATTCCAAGATTTCTACTGGGAATAGTCCGCGGCAGTTTTTCCACTATAGTTTACAGCACAGTTTTGTCCAAGTTGACTGGAAGAGGCTTAATGCTGTCACACAAACATCTCTAGAGCAGGAAAGCAACAAAGTTTTTAGTTAAAAAATATAAAGGAACTTAACTTTTGGAAAAAGCCCTAGAAAGAAGTTAAGCAAAGTTAATCACTACAAAAGATACAGGAATTAAAATATTAACAAGAAGGAAAATTTCAGTAAAAAAAAAATAACTTGAGGTTTAGCATCGTTGGTGCTTAGAGATAATATTTTTCAATATTGTGTAAATTCTTAATTTATATGGCTAGAATGAAGAAATACCTCCTATATTTAATATTACTCCAATATTCAGTTGTTCATTGTCTTCTGCAGTTTAAATCCAATGATATGAATTAAATTAGTACAGTCTTGCCTGAAATGGAAAAACATTACTACCATTCCATTTACAAATACTGTAAGTTGGAGAAGGGTAGGGAGATTGTTAAATCTTTTAACTTTAATGAAATTGTTCAAATTTTAATCACTTAATGTGTCCTTTTCTGAGCCTGGCATTTCACAGTGCAATCCCATTGTCTTCTCAAAAATACTATTCAATTCAATACTCGCAGGCAAGTTCTGCTTCTATGAAAACATTTCCAAGGTAAAAAATATTAAAATGGTGGCACGCAACGTAATTTCTGATTTCTTCCCTTCTGGGCTAGAAATTAAAAGTATAAATATGGATCTTAGAAAGTGAAGAAAGCAGTTGGTTTTATTGTACCCAAATTTTCATACTGTGCTAGTGCTTTCTTTTCTGTAACCCCAATTCAAATTTCTATTTCTTTTTCCAAAGAATAGGAAAGTGTAATGGGCTTTACTTTCCTCAGTTAACAGTAACTGGCAAGATTAATTTAACCAAATAAAGTATTACAAGAGTGAATAATTAAATACCCTTTCTTTTGCACTACACCCCAGCCCAATCAATCACAATAGCAAGTACATTTTATACCTTAAAGAGGAAGGGAGTCTAAGACTTAGTTTGAACATAAACTGTACTGGAGACATCTAATTTTGCTCACTTCACAGTCTAATTCATGCTATCACTAGATACTGGAAATATTTTGGATGGGGAGAAACTAGCAAAGGTTATGTGAAATATCGTAAGCTACAATAAAAAGATAACACATATAAGAACACAAATAAGATTGTTCATCCAACTATTTGTTTTTACAATCCTTATCAAAATATTAGCAATAATACAAGATTCCATTCCATTTGAAATTCACTTCCAAGAGCTTTGCTATTGATGTAGGAGAGAGCCAAGATAACAATATCTTTTTAATTTTTATTTGTAGGAGGGCTGTCTGCAAAAAAAATAATAATCATTTTTCAGCAATTACTTTAAACAGCATTAAAATAACTCCTGATGTATTGCCAAATTATTAGAATTGGAGCTCAACATACATTTATAACAATGTGGTTTTTGTGGTATGGGGCAGATCAGTAAAGAGCTGTTAATAGATGACAGGTCTGATTACCATTGGCTGTAGGCAAGACATATGGATCCCTTAGGAACAGCAACACAGGCTGGTGGGACAGCTTGCTGTAAAGGTCAAGAACAGGAATATCAGCATCGAGGGACACTAAACCAAATACATTACAAACTAGCTTTGATAAAGTAAGGCAGTAGAACTGGTTAGGGATACCGCTTATATATATAAATCAGTTTTATGGGAAAGGGAAAAAAAATCCATCATCAAGGAATAATGCTTACATATAATACGAGGAATAGGTATATTTACTCAGAACCTAATCCAGCTGAATCCAGAGAGGTTTAATTTCTCGCAAGAGGACCAGTGATCACGGTACTAAAACTGGGCCAGTTGTTATACAGCTTGCCTGGAAATAATCTCAGGATAAAGCAAGTAGTTCAAGACTGCAGTTGTCAGCAACTTCAATTCCTTTTTTTTTTTATTCTTAAGACTTCAACATTAATTTATTTCAGCTGCTAGACCTTGTGTGGATTTAGGACATGTAAAGAAAGTATCATAATTTCCCTTCCCAGCTGTTACACAAAATATGTAAATAAAGAAGGAACACCCATATCATCATATAGATCTGTGGGCAGGAAAATGGTACCACAGCCTGATTTAACTGCATGTAAATTTAATCTCTAGGCATCAAAACCAGAATTGCTACAATAGTAGACAGAAGTCTAGGTTTTTCTGGTTCTGAAATACCAAAAGAGGAAATATGGAAAAAGGAAATCTAATTGTAATGCAAAACTCTTAATTCACATAAGATAAGGAAACTGACAGATAAGAGCCAATATCAATATAATGAGGTTATAACATATAAATCCTTTTTAAAATACCCTGTTAGGCTCCCTTTCAAAATTAACTGGGGATGAGTACATTTAACCATGCAATGTTAAATGTCTGATTAACTTCAATATAAGCAGTTTAAAATCCTTTTCACTTCAAAAGAACAGTACAAAATAATGACTCCTAAAATCTTTTGTCTGCATGCTGCTTCTTGTTAAAAATTGGGGGGGGGGAAGGGTATGCATTCATAATATCTGTTGCAATGCACAGATAA